GTGACGTAAAATTACAATTTAGTTACGCTTTCCAAAGTTACCTATCTAATGTCCGGATGCTAGTTATCGAGCGAAAGCTAAATTTAGATTCGAAACCGCGTTTAATATTCGAGAAAGGTGGGCGCTGACTGAAAATATCTCCATTCGGCATCCCGGCTCAAAACCTACCCACAGATCTACACACCACACAGTCCAGTAATTGTAATATACGCGTTTCTCTCAAAATGTAACCCGTTTCCGGTTAGGTGGGCCGGAACTGACAGAGATATGTAACACTAGTAAACGCTTTTATTGCCGTCACTATATTCTGCGCTCCCCCCGGATCGTGTTCCGTCCGCGGGCGGGTCGGAAGGGGCCGATAGAGGACAGTTGGGAGATATTTCCTCATTGAAGATACAGGTTGGTGTTCAAGAATTCGTATAAGTTTTAGAATATCGTGTATTTTGAATTTGTATCAATATTATCAGTATTGGTATAGTCTTTCCAAAGCCAGTTGAACATGTATAAAAACACCTAGCTATAAAATTGAATGAGTTTCATAGGCGTCCCTAAAAAAGTTTTCTGCTAAAGGTAAAAAATTTTACTTAATGATTTGTATACAGGGTGTCCCATTAATATTGCGAAAAAATTCAGGGGGAGCTTCCTTGACCAAAAATAAGAAAGAAAGTTCCTATAAACCTTGCCCGAAAATGCTTCGTTTCGGAGATACAGGGTGTTGAAATTTAGAGAAAATACAAGATTTTTACTAATATCTGGAGAACTTTAACTCCGATTTTTTTGAAATTTGTTTATAAAAACGGTAGACGTCTTCTGACGTAATTTGATTTATTTTATCTATTCCGTCCGGGGACCCACTCCTGTTGATATTAATAAGTAAACGTATGAGACGTCGCTGCTTTTTCTTAGGTATCATATATTTTTCTAATTATGCGATAAAAAATACAACTTTTTTGTCTCTTTACTTTTTTTGATATCTTGCTTCATTTTCGAGCAAAAAATTAATATCCTTTCATATGGACATTTTTAAGGGAAGTAGAAAACAAACATAGAAATTCAACGTTTTAGTTATTTACTAATCAACTTTAACAATACGTTTGAAGGAAAAACAATGTAACAAGCTGAGAAACAATAACTCACTAAATAATATTTTTTTAAATAATTAATATTAACAGAAACATAAGAAAAAATATTTAACGAACAGCAATGATATGAAAAATACATACACAAGGGTTACAACAATTGTTGAAAATGTACACCTTCAACACTAATACAGGGATCTATCCTACGACACATTGATTGGCGAACCCGTTCAAATATTCCGGCTAATGTGTCTAATTGTTTCACAGGATGCGACAATGCGGTTTCTTAATTCGTCTATGGTTTGCACTGGAGTCGTGTAAACCAATTGTTTGAGGTGACCCCTAAGGCAAAAATCCAACGAATTTAAGTATTTAAAAAATACTTTCGGAACTAAGTGGATTGGAATGAATGGGCTTATAGAATGGGCTTCAAAGTCTCCAGACTTAACGCCCCTAGACTATTTTTTATGGGGAACATTAAAAAATAAAGTACCTATATAAGACACCCACAAGAAGTTTGGAGCATTTAAAGCAAAAGGTTCGACATGTTTGTGAGAATCTTTGAAGAGAAACGTTGTTTAAATCTACAAGGGAAGTAAGGAAAAGATTGGATAAATGCTTAGAAGTAGGAGGCATGCATATCGAACATTTTTTAAAGTAATAATAATAATTCTATATTTTGTTTTGTGTTTTGTTATTAGTTATTGTTATATTTATTAGTTACAATTAAAATTGTTTAATATTTTCTATATTTGATTATCCTATTTAATCGTCATTATGTGTATCGTTCTATTTTTCTTCGTGGATTGACGTTTTTTAAGGAGAACATAACAACTAATATGTAAACAAATTTGTGACAGGAGTTACAGCGACTGTTTTTCACAGTAATGTTGATTAAGTCATGACTAGTAGTTCCAATACCATAGAATACATTTTTGTACAATGTTATTGTAACTTTTTAAGGAGAAGAGATACAGAAAAAATTTCTGCACAAAAAATGTTTATAAAAAATATATAATTTTAGTTATCATAAAAAAATGGGTATGTTTGTGGAAAAAAGTTGACGGCGTAATTTTTTTCATTTTTCGAATTTTGAAACAAATGGATCTTAGCGAATTCACGTCATCTAAACAGATTTTTACTGTCGTTTGTCTGTTTTGGGCCCGAGTCGCGAACTTTGGGACACCCTGTACATCCCTCAACATCCTGTAGCCTGTATATCGAAGAAAAAGTACAAAAATATTTGTTACACCTATTTTTTGCCTTTTATCGCTACATACTTAACGTTTTATATAGGAAGCACTAAAATCGGAGGCAGGAACACGGCGTTCCTGTATAGTTTTCCCGGAGTTAAGTGTCGCAATAAAAATAACGATGAAAAATAAATTCGGACATTCGCACGGGAAATTATTGCCTATTATACCTCGGGTGCCACAGGGTGTTCATTTCGCATTATTTATGTGGACAATTTGACGTTGGCGTATGAGCGATGTTTAAAAATCCAAATTGAACCGAAATTAATCGCCTGGTTTTCGACCTCCTCTGTTAACCGCGTCTGCCTCGCACAGCTCGGTTACCGAAAATATTCAATTGATGACCTATCGAAAATATTATTGCGGTCCGATTGTATCCTGTAATTAAATTTTTGAGGTGAAATATGTGCCTTTGTTTAAACGCTGTCGAGTCGTATGGGGTGGTGCAGTTTAGGGCTGTTTTAGAACCGCAGGAAAGAAAAAAATACTGTTATCGGAATGTGAAGGGAAATAAATTGGATGTATTCATCGAGAAATATAAACTAAAAAAGGAATCCAAAAATAAGTTCATGTATAATTTTTTTAAATAAGCTTTTAGTGACGTCATTTTATTTTCATATTCTTCTCAGCAAACCCTTTCATTTGATACCCATGAAATGGGGGTGCATAAAAAGTAACTGGTCCGCCATCTTTGGGAGTCCGCCTTATTGGATTTGGAATGACGTCACTTAGCTAACCATGCATTGTCATCCAAACTAAACGTGTATGCAAAATTTCAGCTCAATCGGTTTGGAATAACTGTTTTAAAATTCAGTTGCAAGATTTGAGCTATACTAATAAGGCAAGTTAAGTAAAAGGTTGTAATAAAAACAACAAATGTCTAAATAAGAAACACCTGTGAATGTGTCGTCTATGGATATAATTTGCCTAAAATCATGTAATACCGCACTTTTCACTACTTTTATCGAAAATTTGGGCGGATAATGTCTTACAAATATACAAATTAACAGAATCGTTGCTACAAACTGATTCTTTCCGTCAATATAAACAAAAAAAGGTAACGTTTTACCCTAAAGCGATTCCTAAGGCTCTTATCCGTCAAGAGCCATTGAAAATACAGACAATTTAAACAGAAACTAATCAGTGGCGTCGGAATACATTGTCTGATTGTATTCAACTGAGAATCTTCACAGATTTTAATGAACCAACCAAATCGTGTGCATCTTTTAAATGTTTCTCTTTGAATGTATGGTTTACGAATAAATGTCTAAAAATGATAATGTTAGCAGCAAATCAAAAATAAAATTTCAATTATTGACTAATAATCACAGCCACACAAAAAGAAGTTGTCTGTACTTTTCATGCGACATATGTTATCCATAGTATATTTGCTTCCTGATCACGAATCCGGTGTCAGAATTGAGCTATTGTATCACAGGAATTTCCTAACCTCAAAAAACAGGTAAAAAATATCAAAAATTTACGAAAAAGTGCTAGGCAAAAAAACAAGAAATCTATTTTTTCTATATTCAAATGTTCACTTATATGGCTAAGACCCCGCCGAACGTGAATCTGCGGTCAGAATTGATGGTTCTTTTTCTAACCTCAAAAAAAACGGGTCAGATATCACGAATTTTCAAAAAATCAAAAAATAACAGATTCGCGCCAAATTTGGTATACGGGGGTTTTCGGGGTCGCTGATCACGGATCCGAGGTCAATTTTGCAAAATTCAAGATGGCGGATCCAAGATGGCTGATCAAATTTTCAAAAAATAACAGATTTGCGCCAGAGTGACTGCAAAAACAGCCCGAAAATCGCCCATTTTGGCAAACTCGTAATTCTTTAAAAATTTTCTGCTAAGTTATTGTATATCATAAGAACGTGTTACTGAGAAAGTTCCAAGATGAGTTCAGCTTTGGTTTTGGAAATATGAGTGATACAATCATGTCATAATACTCGTGATCTTATGTATCGAGCATATCACTTTAAACCTTTAAGATTCACTTTTTTGGATGGCCTATCATCAAGATCAAGGTGCTTACTTAGGTTTTTAGGGTTGCTGATTATGAATTTGAGTCAGAATTTACTTAATTTTTTATTTAAATAAATGCACTGTTAAAAAAACATCTAAGTTTGTCATAGTTTTTGGATCTACACAAATATCGCTGACATCCATATCGGGAATGAATTCACAGGCAGGGGAGTTAAAATAGAAATGTAATAGAATTAATGATTACTTTTACAGTATCGACTGGTGCTTACCTGGCACATCCGATATCAATATTATAGACAGAGGATGCAAGCACGAAATTATATTAATATTTCAAACATCAACTTTAAAACTTATTTGCAAAGTTTTTTTTTGAAATTTGTCCATAAATCTTTTTATACAAGCGAGCCCACAGTCTCTTTAAGTAAATAAAAATGACTTGTGACTTATTTGCAACTAATTAAGTTATCAGTTAACTTGTACATAACACTGTGTCACTAAATAACAAAGTTTTTAGAAGACTTTGTTCTAAATGAACCTTCATCATATTCTTTATTACCAAAATATACTTAAGGATTAATAAATGAATTTGTCGAATTTTTTGAGACATAATAATTACATCTAAAACCCCATATTTTTTAATATTAAATATATTAATATAATAATTTTTTTTGCAGGGATTTTTGCTGCCCAGGTTGCAGTGGAACCCAAAGAAAAGACAGTATTACCGGGAGACAGTGTCACCTACCTTTGTCGGCTGGCTGTACCGCTCCAGTACTGTCGGATAGAAATTCCCGGTTTTCAACCTGTCAATTTAAACAAAGAATCAGCGACTAGTGAGGTAAGAACTTGTACTTTTAGATTTATGGATTGTAATAATATTAAATTTAAAGATCAGGATAGTGGCAATTAATATGGTTAATTTTTATTTAAATTTAATTTGCAACATATATTCCAATTCCTTTGTTAAAGCACATAAAAAACAATTTTGACAGTTACAGCTGTGGACAATAAAAAGTACAAGGTTTAATAAATTCATACTATAAACTTTTACGTTGCAAATCTTTTTTTTTAATTACGACTAGATATTTCCAAAAAGGGTTGTTTTAGCAGTTGCTAATTTACTCTATTATAAATACCAATACAAATAGTATTAAAACCATTTTATTTCAGCTTTCGTACTTTGGGAAAGGTTTGGAGTTTGGTGAGTGTGGCTTCACGATACAGAGGGCGCAAGACAAAAATAATGGTGACGTTAAGTGCACCCTCGGTATACCCAGTGAATCCACTGAATCTGTTGGGACTATGCGACTGGTCGTAGCAAGTAAGTTATTATTAGCTAGTTAACACAGGCCCCCCCCCCAAAAAAAAGTTTTGTACCAGAGACATGAGTAGGTACATAGATCTTGTGTATTTTTTGAAGCTGAATCCGAATTGGTAGAATATTTGAAAGAGCACACTTCAGATTGAATTTATAGATATTCACTGTTTCTCATTTTTAGACATTGCCTATTTTTACTCAAATGACTCAATTTTTTAAAAATTCATTACCCATTTCTTTGGGTGGCAAATACCAGTTTCTAGCGATTTAATAATTTCTGAATTTAAACATTGTATTCATGATTGGTGACTTTGAAAATCTCCGAGTAACAAATTTCAGCCATACTCTTCAAATTTTGAACGCTTTTTCGATTTTTACATTCTACCCTATTTTTGGAAATAATTTAATGTTTTACTAAAATCTACCTACTTCTAATAATAATTTGGTTTTCTCTATAGAAGCTCCTAATCCACCAGCATTGGACTTAACAAGAGGAAGAGACTCTTTGGGAGTTTACAAAATCAATGATGTCCTGGAAGCATCCTGTATCGTCAGTGACGGTAGGCCAGTGGCTAACCTCAGCTGGTTCCTGGGTAAGAAAAAATTCAAATCAGTTACCACAATGTGATATATATTTTTTTTCATAAATTTATGTACAAATTATTCCATATAAAAATCATAAATAAAAATTGAACATACTAATGTGGGTGAGATGTAACTTATAAAGTGCAAAAAGTATTACTTTGTACCTACAGATGAATGATTTTAACATTTATAACTGAGGATGTTACGCTACTAATTATAAATAACTGATTAGCGAATATTTTTCATTAAATTTTGTTTTATGTTCGTTGTATTCTCTTTTACATTTTTGCATAATTAAACATATGTATTTATCTGTGGTTTTGTTGTAAACTTATCATTATTAATAATTTTATCTACAATTATGCCCTACATTGCATTCATTTGGATGTGTTTAATATATTTTTGGTATTTAAAACATTCAGATGACGAGCCGATACCAGAAAATGAACTGACTATGCCGACCGAGATGACCATCGCTAAGGACAACTTACACTCGAGAATTCAAAACCTTACGCGGACGCTTCGAGCTACCGACAACGGAAGAAGCTTAAGATGTGTCGCGGAACATCCTGCCTATCCTAATGGAAGATCGGAGACCAGTCTACAGTTAAATGTTGAATGTAAGTTATCGTGATCGTAAACCGTGTCATTATTTTGCATGTATACAGAGTAGCTTTCTTACACGGAAATAAACTGACGATTTAGAACAAGCCTTAGTACAATTTTGTTAAGGACTTTGACAAAATGTTTTTTATTCACTTATTTTTTTAAGATGACAATACTTTTCAATTAACAGACAATTGAGGTCTAATTTTTCTCAAATAGACCAATAACATAGAACAATTGATGTTTTATCAATATCTTTCTTAAATATTAAATCAATAAATATGTTTTAGCTAAAAAAATAAAGTTCATCCTTCTATACAAAATTTTATTAAAATGTCTTTAAAGTGCGGCAGCAGTTGCCACATATTCATCTTTTATACAACTAAATTTCATACGTTAACAAAAATTATCGTAATTTGCAACTTGATCTCTTGAAATTTTCATTTTCAGTTCCCCCTCTGCCCATATACGATTCGTTGGACAGATTCGATTACCAAATCGGAAAAATGGGCCTGATAAATGTAACCGTCGAAGCGAACCCTCAGCCGCAGGTAGAATGGGACATCGGAGGCCAGAAGATAAGGGAAGGCTCCACAGATAATACCGGAAGGATAGAGGCGGAAGGAGTAACAAGCCTGGTATGTATCTTTCTTTTTTAATTTTGTTAGGTATCACGACAAATTGATGCGAATCCTTGGCTGTACAAAAACGTTACAACGTATCACTGTACTTCAGTGCAAAATTGGTAGCTGGTGACTCATTATCAACATGTAGGTCCGTGCGGTGGGTAAGGCCCAGGGGAAATGCTATTCCTTTGGCTTATATAGAATAAAAATACAGGGTGACACACAACTTATCAATCAATAATCAATCAAAACGACAATCAAGTCCAAGTTGCTATATACGTAGACCATTTTTGACACTTAAAAATTAATGTAAACACTATCGCAAAAACGTTAATAATCGGATTTCAGTATCCGGAATCGTCTGGGGCTACTTGCAGATGCCCAGCGATGTAAAGGTTGAAAAATACTACAACTTCAATCATTTTTTTCTTGGAAACTAAGGATTTTTCAATTTTTTTATGATATTGACACCATTTCTCTTAGCACATTTATTTCCTAATTTGTTTGGATAAGTTGTGAATCATCCTGTAGATATATTGATTTGGTAACAACTAGAAATTTACATTTACCTTTATTTATACTAAAGTACAAACTCCGGCTATTAAGTTTTAAGACTGATTTTCTATTGTGGTAAAGTACGTGTCTCTATCTATTTGTGGTTAACGGAACTATGTAGCAATCAAGTTCTGATTTAAAGCCGGTAAAACAACCACTTTACTCCAGAACGAAACAGTAATAGTCACTGTACGCAGGAGCGCAAATGGCTCCATCTGTTGTGCAGACTCCCAACTGTGCCATTGAAATGGCTACAGTAGGAAGCAACCTGCTAACTGCAGGTACTTTGTTGCACGACTGCCACCCACAGAGGGCGTAACACAATGTTTGAATTGTCAGTGTTGCGAGAAACAACTACTCTGAGAGCTTATGCCCCTACCGGCATTGAATTATACTTGCAACACCTAGTGCAACTGCACCTATGACACGCTGATGAGGACTAATAAGTCCGAAACCGGTCTGTGCCTGGTGGGTTACTACCTAGCTGTTGCACTAGGTGTTGCGAGTATAATTCAGTGCCGGTAGGGGCATATAGCTCTCGAAGTAGTTATTTCTCGCAACACTGACAATTCAAAGTAATAGTCACTGATACTGTCACCGAATCTGGACACATCGATTTTTTTTATTTATTTGAAATTTATAGTATCGGTGGTTAATATTTCCTTTTGACTTTTAGGGGAGGAGTAAATACATAGCCAATCTAAGGATAGCAGCAGTGAAGAAAGAGGATACCGAGACGGAGTATATTTTAACGGCACACAACAGCTACGGGTTTCAGGAGTATAGACTGAGGATTTCTACAAATCCGGAGCCAGAAGGTAAATGTTTTTAGAATAAATAATTTTTATTATTCGCTGCAAGGTGGTTCGAGATGAAAGTACAACTAGTCTTAACTAATTTCTGCATTCTTGTTCCTATCTTCTTGTTTTTAACTGTTTATTTTATTTTATTTTTTTTTGATATCGACAAGTTTGCTATCACTAAAAACAAAAACATTTACTGCCTGTTGTATTTTTAAAGTTTCTTCTTCGTTTCCACGCTGCAAAATAGGCTTTCAAAAGTTCTTTAGGCAAAGGATCTTTTATGGTATGTATAATTATTGAAAAAATAAGTACAGCTGGAGTAACAATTATTTGAATGAAAAAAAATTGCATCGTAACTTACGAATACTGTACAGGGTGATTCATAAATGAACCGACGCGGGCCAGGTGTGTGTGGGGTGACTCAAAATTGGATTATTTGAGGTAACTTGCCTATACACCAACTTGCACCCCTCAGGAAATATAAGTTCGCTAAAAAATTTCAAAAAAATTTATATATACATCAAGGAATGCCTTTTTATATCGATTTGACATAAACACTCAAAAAAAGCTCGTGTCGATTGATCCAAAAAAAATGCTCAAGAAATACAATTCTGCTTGAAAACGCATCTATGACATCGTAAAAGGGGATGAATCGTGAATCTATGCTTATGAGCCCAAGTAAATAGGAATTGACTGTCTGGGTCTTTCAAGATGAGGCATCTTTTTGTTCATGCACTGGTTTTTTCGGAAAAACCAGACATGTGGTAACTGTACCATTAGTGCAATGTCGGACGGTCAATTTTGAATGGTGTACAGCCATTTGTTTCTCAGAAATCTTCAGAAAAAGGGAAACCAACTGCTGAAGACGCATTCTCCACCGGGACAATGCGAAAAAGTCGAATTGATAAGTCATCCACCATACAGCCCTGATTTGATACCCAATGACTTTTTATCCCCACGTATTAGAAATAATAATAATAATAAAAATAAGTCAACGTTTTTCGACGGAATGGAAAAAGTGCTTTGGAAATTGGTTTAAGCGCATGCAAAAGTGTATTGATCTTCATGGAGAATATTTTGATGAATAATTTCTCTTTTTTTTTTGGTTCTCTATTCCCGAAATATAAAAGGCAACACTCGTATGTTGTTAATTAACAGTAAATTATTGTTGATGGGATTAATAGAGCTGACATACTCTAAATTATTCCGTTTTTTTTTTCTCCACTAGCAACCTTTGCTTCAAAATGTGTAATTTCATTTACCATTGTTTTTCCTTTCATTATAATTTTTAATAAATTTCATGGTTTTCAAAAAAATTGGGTTAGGTGAGAAACACTGCGAAACTCAACAGTAATTTGTGAATCTATCTATCAAATTTATGAAGAAATGTTGTAGTCTTTCCAATCTCAATTGAAGACCAAAGAGATAGGCAGCTGTACCAGATTTGGTCGCTACGCAACAACTCCGCATTGAAATATTTGAAAAACTTGTTGCCATATTTATTTAACCATACCCATATACAGGTCTAGTCGAACTAAACGTGGAGGTGATAGAAATGTATACGCCCAGTTGAAGAATGCGCGTGCAAACGGCGCACAAACACAGCCGCACTGGGCGACCGGCCATAAATTTCAGTTGATGACAAATTGCCTAGCAGTGCAGAATAAACAAAATCTTTCAAATTTTCCAAAAAGAAAATATTCACAATGGTTAAATATGAGGTTCGAGTGGCTGACTGCAGAATAAAGAAAAAAAAATCTAAGAATTTAGAGATATGTCAACTTCAATTGCTTTAAAAGACTTGTAAAAATGTATTTTTTTAAAATTTGCATCTACTACCCTCCTCAGGGGTGCAAGTACAGGCAAATCGAATTAAATAATTTTATTTTGTCACCCTGTAACACACCTGCCTTTATTTTGTCCAATCAGTGCCAGTTCCAAGCGGAACTCTGTAGAATCCTTGGCTAATTTTATTTTGAATATAACTGATTGTTTTTTTTTTCTTATTGCAGGCGTAGACTTGGGAATCGGTGCCGTTATCGGCATCGTTGTAGCCATCCTGTTCGTAATCCTTCTAGTGTCAATTTTGATCTTCGCAAAAGTGACGGGACGGTGGTGTTTTAGCGGTAAGTTAACCCTCTCGAATGCTTTTGGTAGTGTTTAGATGGTTGTTTATTGGGATTTCGATTTTCCTTTTTTTTTAAACCACGATATACACACAGAGGGTCTAAGAAATTTTGAAAGAGTTAACGTTCATTAAATTAACAATTATAATGGACTGCATTCAGAGATCTGAAAATATTTCATTAAAACAGATTAAAAATATTTATATTGGAATTATTGGATCCGAATTTTCTGCTATGCTATTTTTAAATAACACTTTTTAGTAGTTATTTAAGTGTTTCAATAAGTTTTAACCATTATCTACTCATGTATATTGATGATGTGAAGCTTCCTCACCGACTACCCAGATATTTCTTTAAAAACGCTGAAAATTTAACAGCGTTTCAAATTTAACTGGACGACTTTTGCCTGAAATTAGTGAAAGACTGCTACATTTTAGTCTCACCTAAAATCATTGATGTTTCCAGTCACAAAAACTTGTCAGTTGTCACTAATTACTTTATCTAAGATAAATAATCGTTATTAAAGTACCAGTAGTATAATTTGTTTTGTCTTGTGTACTTTTGTAGTGCTAATGATTTTTAAATTGATTGTTTTTAAAAATCGAAATTAAAACACACTGGAAGGAATATTAGCCTTTAATCACATCATTATTGCCAAGCTGTCACAGAAAGGTCTTCTTTAAAGGACGAGAAAGAGTTCTCTCCCTCCCCCCTCCCTCTCTCCCCTCCCCTTTCTATCCATCTCTCCTGTTTCTTTATGCACCCTATCTGTCTCTCCCTAACTCTCTCTCACTCCTCCCCCCCCCCTCTCTCAATTGAGAAAACATATTGTTTCCCTATTTATACAAGGTGATTCAGAACTTATCAAAAAAATTTTTTAATGTACAAGGGACTCTTACAAATACAGTTTTGTAAAAAAAAATCAAAAAGCGCAATTTGAAAATTATTTAAAAATTTACACTTCTGCACAGCACTGGAAACTGGTCCACTGTAAAACCTGACCTTGCAGTCGGTGACCAGCAGGGTGGCAAAGCGTAATAGAAAATGAACGGACAAAAAATTTGAAATTCAACTGCTTTTGTCACTATTGTTATTATTAATTAATAAAATTAAGGAGGTTTATCGGGTACGGGGGTACGTCTAAAGTCTAACGAGAGTTTCTGTATTTGGGCCCGTCTTACCCAGTTTCTACGAACTAACACAAATGTTGTCTTGCTTTACCATAACACAAATGCTTCATCATAATACAAATGTTGTCTTGCTTTACCATAAATTAAAACGATATCCATCAACTCCGAGTTGCTATACACGTAAGCAATGTTAGACACTTGAAAAACTAATATAAACACTATCGAAAATACTAAAATCGGATTTCAGTATTTGGAATCGCTTGGGCCCACATGGGCGAATGATACTAGCCTAGCGATGTAAAGGTTGAAAATAAATCAGAAACTATAAGGATTTTACAAAAATTTTTTTACGATATTGATCCCATTCTTCATGATGCATCTATTTTTTTTTTTTTTTTGGATAATTGTTGAATCACCCTGTATTTCACATTTAACGCTTTAAGTGTCATTTAGCGATAATATTAAAATATAGCACACGATGATGCAGTTAAACAATTATCATTTTTCAAAATAATAAATTTTGATTCATTTTGAGGGTACTGAGGGAGAGAGACAACCTCTGAAATAAGGTCCATCTCGGATTGCCAAGTAACTATCCACCGGTGCACATTTCGGTAGGTTTAAATTTCGATGATAAAGATAAAAAGTTGTTAGCGCTACCAAAGACTTAGTATAAACATTGTCGCCACATTAAATTATAAATTTAATTTAATTTTCACACAAAATTATCAGTTAAAGTTGTAAAAATGAAAATTTTCAACGTATTTCTTAAATTTTCCTTGTAATAATGTTAAGTATAGTTTTTAGTAAAGAACAATTAATATATATTAGGATGCCAATAAAGTTAAAAACAGTGGATGAAAAGTTTTTTAAATGATCAAAAATATAGTTTTATTGTAAGCTTTCCATAAAAATATTTCTACACTTTATATGCCCGATCTTGACCACTATAGAAAAAGTTTTTAATAATTTTGTTTTGTATTTTTTATTTTCTATTTCATGGGTGTTGACACTAGTTAATTTTATTTTTACTTAGAGGTATCATAAAAGAAAAATTATAGTAGTTACCTAAGAAACAGAAGCATTGCCAACCTTTCAAGCTGTTCAACGTATGCATTTCGAAAAAATTCTGTTTGTTCGGTAACTAGAGTAGTTTCAAGTTTTACTTAGTTTCATAATTTTTTTTTAATCTTACAATTTCTTTGTGACTGTTCTTTAGTACGTAAGTGTTCTTGTCTTGTAACCGTTATATTTTCTGTGTGTATAAAATGCCAAATAAAAGCTAATATTGAAGAGGCAAGTAATGTGGTAAGTCCCTTAGTTTAATTGTAGCTTTGAATGATAGTTCGACATCTTCACCCTATTCTTAAGACTCCATCTTTTGTGATGTTTCCGTTGGCATGTTGTATGTTAGACATTTTGACGTGGTGCATGCAAGCGCTTTAGTTTTGAAGCGAAATTAGATTTGAAAATGTTGTAATTTTTTTTAATATGATATTTAACTAACAAAGCAAATAAAAATCATTTTACTTCATGCTCTGTTCTGTTTAAAGTATTATTATTTTCCTATGTTGAAAAACGGAGAAAATATGTGGTAAAACATATGACAGACGCCCTTTACATATGGCCAATCTAATAATTTTATTTTTAATTACTTCAAATTATAGAAAAATACATGTTCTAGAATATGTACTATAGGATGTAACAGTGGCATTGTTGGTAAAAAATATTGATTTGTGTTTTAATCACTAAGATGAAGAAACTCCTTGAGTAAGCAGATTTTTTTTGCAGAAAGACCCCACCTCTAATTTTTATCAAGGAATAACATCCTTAATTTTTTCGCACTTATTTGTTTACACTCTGTATAATTCAAACTTGGTACAATGCAGTTCCCTACATGTAAATTTAAACAAACCTTAATTATATTTTAATTGAGCTAATGTCGCTGTTACACTCTATACAAGGCGTTAATGATAAGTTTTGCCAAATTTTAATGACGTATTCTACCGATGAAAATAATCAAGTTTTGCCCTATAAAATTTTTTGATAGGACACTTCCCTACGGAGATACAGGGTGTTAACGGTTTCAAATATTTATATTATTTTTTCTGTAACTTCACTGGCATAAAAGATTGAGTGACAAAATTTGGGAGATAAGTATCTTCTTATTTAATTTCCCAATTATGTATGTAAAGTAAATTTTACGAATACTTTACAAGAATACTTTATCGCCACAAATTGATTGTACATTTTAAAAACATTTAAAATTATTTAAAAACCAGTGGCGTACGATATTTTTTTCAAAAAAGGTCCCCTACTCCCCCAATAACTACGCCACTCGAGTGTATTTTGGAATAAGTTATCCATGAAAAAATAGTCACTACTAAAAAAATGCCATCTCCCAAATTTTATCACTCAATCTTTTATGCCAGTGGAGTTACAGAAAAAATAATATAAAAATTTGAAACTTTTAACACCCTGTATCTCCGTAGGGAAGCGTCCATCAAAAATTTTTATAGGGCAAAATTTGATTATATTCATCGGTAGAATATACCATTATACTCGTATGCTTGGCAAAACTTATCATTAAGTCCCTGTATAGGTAGGGAATACTTCCAGAATATTATTGAATATTTCAAAAATTATTTGTCGCAAATACAACTACAGAGCCTTTATAAATGTTTACAAACCACATGACCGCCAAGCTTCAATCCAACAATGCACGATTGGTACTGGTAACGAAAATTCCCTAAATCTTGGTATTTCCACCAAACAATGATTGGTGTAATTTTTCATAGAATTTTATTCAACCAATCGTGGTCGAATTATCTCGAGTGTAGATGTAAGGGTTTGTCATTGTTCATTGTAAACGAATCATTAACATTGGTGACACCAAGATTTAGGGAATTTTTATTACCAATTTGTACCAATCGTGCATTGTTGGGTTACCTAAGCTCGGTCACGTGGCTTGTAAGCATTTATGAGGCTGTGTGCTATTGCATACACCAATAACCTTAGGCAGTTTTAAATATTTTGAACTTTTGGGTTCAAATTAGATCGTAGTTTTTAAGGAATACCCTAAAAAAAATACTTTGAAAAGCTAGGAATGAATGCCCCCGATTTAGATATTTTTTAAAGTATTTTTTAACTAGTAGTTAAATTTTGGGAAATGGTAATATTAACCAGGTAGTAGTGTAGTTTTGGCTTTATTAATTTGGTAATACCACAGCTTGCCTCTATCAGCGTAGTGTAGGTGGTCTATACAATAGTGCTTATACAGGGTGGGCATAAAAACCTCATATAGTTCCAGTTTCAGTTTTAAACAATTAAGTTGCAATGAAAAATCTACGTCTGACCTAGAAACGATGCAAATATCAACAGATTTTATATGTGTTTTTAGTCTTGTCTTCCATTGGTGTTATTTGTACGTCTATTGAAACAAATGAATTTTTTTTACGTTTGGAAATGGAGGACATATTTTCAACCAATCCGTAGATATTTATTTTGTTTTTAGGTTAGGCCAACATTATTCTTTGCCCTTTTGTAATGTTTTATATCATTTTTTTTTAAAATGTTAAAATATTTACATAAAATTTAGGTTAGTATTATTTTCAAATTTAAAAACTACTTAGTATGAGAATATACAAGATATATTCACGTTTATAAGTTTACAGAAAATTAACAAACTTCCAGGATTTTTTATTAAAAAGACTAAAAATACACATAACTTCCTAAAAACTGCTAATCCTAAGCCCACTATAATTTTTTTAGATGTCAATTCTTGAAAAATGATATTACAATAATTCTTTTTATCTGAAATCGAATAACAATGCATCATTTATTGTCAAAGATCAAGGTAAAAAAGAAAAT